AATCCTTCATGAACAGGAACGGAGCCATTGAGGAAAAGACCAATGTTAAGTCACATGTTTGAGTTAAACAGGTTAGTTATGATCCAGATATCCCGGTTTGGTAATAGCGGACACTTTGTGGACATGGTTAAATGGAAGAATAATAGATTTCATGCAACCAAAGGTATAATTAGTTTCAAGCAGAGACAAATCTTGAAGAGTCCTTTGGGAAGGAGGAACATCGGGGTTTGGTGGAGTTAGTGCATTGAATGTTCATAACAGGAGGGATACTTTGATCCAAGGTTGACCCAAAGGTGTCAATGAACAAATATATAGATGGTATATAGATGGATTTACAACCCCTATACATGTTCAGCCCACCTACAGGCATGAAAATGAGTTGAGACATCGGGTATCCATGCAACATGCAGATGGCTTCATCTACAGCATATAACATATAATTTCCATACCCAGGCAGAAACAATAGATTTCAATCAGAGCAGCAAGGTGCAAAGACACATTTCTAATTAAGATAAATTTGAATGCACTATGTTCTAAACTCATGATATAATTGTTGTTTCTGTAATTTCTACCTGAATTGCTTAATCGCTCCATTCAAACTTTGTGCTGCAGATATTTTCAGGCTTAGATGTGCGGAATCTATTTTTTATAGAGATGCACCGATTGCAATATTCTTGGCCGATTCCGATTTCTTGTTAGTGTGATCTGCCGATACCGATTTTTGCCGATTCCGATTTTCTTTCTAAGAACTATAATTGACAGCATATACAAACAAAAAACTACTTTTCTTCAATGCAAAGTTTTATTTAAAAAAAAAAAAAACACAAGTAAAAAGTCAGTAATAAAATAAGAAAAAAAAAATTGCAAACAACAGCACAAATAAATGCAGTAGAATAAAGAGAGTTATGAAACTACATTTTTCAGGTTAAGTAAGTTTTTATTCAGGTAAGAAATACTACAGAAATTAAAGTTACTTTAATTTCTGTAGTCTTCATTGTAAAAATTAAATACAGATTAATGCTTACCATTTAAGTTATAAAACGTATTCAGTCAAAAGCAGAAAATTATTTTCTTTGTCTTTTGTTCTTTGATTAACATGAGAGACAGCAGCAGGAAATTGGACTGCGGTCCCTTTAAGAGTTTATCCACGGACCCAATATACTGTTACACAACATGCGTTCTCTTTCTCAACTATTTAACGTTCCAAAACTGACTGTGTTTAACTGGATACTCGCCAAAACGGGCATTTTGACATAATTTTTTATGTATTTGAACGTTTTAGCGCAGTTAGCCACTCATTTTGGTATTTGTGGCTCACAAGCTGTTTGAGACTGAGCATGGATTGTGCGCTCCACTAATATAGATCAGTGGTGGTGCGCGCGCGTTTGGTATAAGAGCGAAACCTGTGGGAATTACTAAAATAATGCGCAATACAAGCACAATTTAACCGGAGCGAATGAGACGTGTGTGAGAGAGAAGGGGTCTTCGGAGAGAAGAGAGCGAGAATCCGCGGCTGATGTTATTGCCTGTGCCGCTGGTAACAAAACGGATCAGCTCGAAGTCGGAAAGAAGTGAGACTGACCGGCCGATCACCGATCCGGGCCGATCATGAGGAAAATCGGCCGATTCCGATCCCTGGCCGATCGATCGGTGCATCTCTAATTTTTTATGGACAGCATTTAAAATGTAACTGGCTGTGATGACATCATTGTGACATTTGCATACTGTGTTCCCATTGGTCCTCACATCGCAAAGATGGTGTCATATGGTGAATTTGTTCTTCTATACAGCCAGCAGGAAACAAAGCAATGCCATTTCATTTTTCATTCCCAAAGCTGAACATGTGTAAACTACGTTTTAAGGCAAAATTAAATTTCAGTTTTGGTGCGAATGCTTAACGTATATGTATAGCCGAGTGCTAGACTTTCTAAAACTTTCTTGACAGCGTGCGCGAACATAGACACTTGACACATGCACACAAGAAATGTTCATCTTTGTCTAGCGTCTGCGCTATTTCTCTCCAGACGTTATGACAGATAAATATATCTATGTACGTTACTAGAGCTGCATCTATCTTCTAAGCTTGTTAATGCTACCGTCAATTGTTGTTGCCATCTCCAGTAGTTTGTTAGCTAGCATGCACACCACTAGCATATTAGATGTTTATTAGCACTTATAAAGCACATATTAATGCCTTATTCTGAATGACCATATTTTAGATCCCTTAATCCTACCACATACCTAAACAGCCTTACTAACTATAAATAAGCAGCAAAATAAGGAGTTTATTGAGGCAAAAGTCATAGTTAATAGTGAGAACTGGTCCTCAAACTAAAGTGTGACCAAAAATTTGAGCATATGTGAACTGTGCAAAAACTGGTTAAAAAATTAGACTTCGTACAATATTATTATGAATTTGCGCCAAACACTGTACGCACACCCTTAAATACCCATGGTACAAAAAAAAAAAAAAAACGCAAAAGAGCTAGCATTTCCATCAGGGAATGCAAATCTACTCCATACTGTCATTCTAAGTGATATAAATATTAATTTCCACATAAAAACCCATGTGGAAGTCAAAACAAGACTTCTCGCATTTAAATACATTTGAATGAATACTAATACAGCGCATGGGGTTGGTCGCATTCACATTCTCAATATCAAACGGTGGCAACATCACATTAGTTAGCTCAGTGAAGGGCTAAATTGGAAGAGTCAAGAAAATAACAAGAATTTTCGAGATGAGCAGTTATTTACTGCATAAAGGACACAGGCTTCAAATTCACACGCAAACGAAATGATAAATAAATCAATCAAATCATAATTTAATAAGCAGCAGATTACCAACACATCACAACAGCTTTAACAACTCAGTTCATAAAGATCATAGACTATTTCATCTCAGTGTGGCCCTGGCTCTGAAAATGAGAGCAGTGGGAAGCGTTTTCCTGGCGGATTCCTCAAGCACCAGCTTCTAATTTGTAGAATTTGTGTATGTTGGGGAAGAAAGCATCGGCAGCCCCCGTTGTCTGTGATCAGCCTGCGTTCTGACATCTGTTTAAGGATGTTTATCCAAGGGGTAAGTATGTTAAGGGAAATATTATGCTGGTGTTACTTTACTTTTCTTCTGTTTGAATCATAAACACGGCTCCGGGGCAGGACGGAGAGATTAGAGTGAAAAACGCGAGCATGGGGTCTCGAATCACACCCCACGAGACGAATCCCTACCATGATACCAGACCTAAAGACGTCCTGCTTAATCTGCCGATAGGAGTGTATTAATTTAATTAAGCCTAACGTAGCACGTGCGCCGCACTTTAGCTCTTTTATTGAGCCTGCAACGTTTTATTTACATCCACACGAGCTCCCGGACCGGCGCGTGTTGCTCTTTTACTGCGTTTGTGTGGAAGGAGTCAAACTAAAACCAGGTGCCAAGCTACAGGCTGCTCAGATGACAGCGAGAGCCCCTTCGGTGAAGGCTTTATGAACTGAAACACTGCACAGAGAAAGCAGAGACGCTCATTTAAAAAGAAAATAGGTGTCCGGCAGCCATTCAGTCACCGCTCTCAATAAGGCATGAAACAGGGCGTCATTAAGGCAGTGTCAACCCTACCAGAGTTAAGCTGACCCCCCTTTGGGCTAATGTGAGGAGGGCAGAGTCTTTAAAACCAAAGACAAAGAGCTTTACCCCCGCAGCATGTCTCTGTGTTACAGATAAAGAGTTTTAGCCCACCAATAAATGGATGTTGCATCCCAATAAGTCAAAAAGACCAGTAGATATGCATATGGATGAATCTCATGAAACCTGTCAAGAACGTGTCCAGGTCATATTTTAATGCGCGATCAAAAGGAAGTAATAAAACATTATACTTTGCTTAATGAAAATGGATCTTTTTCCTTCTAAGACTCATTGCATTGTGACATGACAATTTCCATAAATAAATAAAGCCGACGATAGATAGATAGATAGATAGATAGATAGATAGATGATAGATAGATATTTTAAAATACATTTGTTAATACATTTGTTGATATTTCTTATTTTATTTCTTATTCTTAAAATGTAAATAAAAAAAATACTTAAAATAATAAATAAACATTCTATAATTTAATCGGCATGCATTATGGTGATTTAATTTGTATGTATAAATAAATAAAGGCAAAAAGGCAAATAATAATATCTGATGTTTTCTTCATGCAAAATATTTTTATTTTTTTTTAAATGTGACTCGGACAAGTTTCCATGAGATGTACACCCACAACGAAAGTCCAAGAGACAGATGAAGAAAGTAAAGGCAGGGAAACCGGCAAGATACAAGCCCAGCCAAAGAACAAAAAGCAGCAGCCCAAGCTGGAGAAGGAGGAGGAGATGAGGAGATTTCCTAAAACTAATCAATCAGGTCCTGATAATGGCTTCCATGCAGGAGTGTTGACACTGGGTCAGATCTTCCCTTGGCCCGCGACTTCAGAGCAGCGGCTACAGAAAAGGCACAGATAACAGAAGCTGGGGCTAATTGTCTGCCTAGTGTCAGGACTTTTCAAAGCCTCTCCACTTTCACTCGATTGCCCGTCTTTCTCTCCCATTCCTCCATACCCTGATCCTCACCCCCGTCTATCCTCTCTCCAGCGAACTGGCCACTTTGGTTGCCTCCTCTTCCCGGAGCGAGGCTGCGTGAATCACATTTCTTGCATGGTGCGCGGCTGTCTAACACGCTCGCTCGCATCCTTCTAACACGTGCATAACAGGCAGCGGAGAGCCGGGAGACGCTGCGGCTAGTGAATACTGTGACACCTCAAGTAAACAGGAAATATTCCATTAGGTGACATTTGCCAATCATTTGTTGATCCCAACAGCTTACAAAATAGGAGCTCCAAAAAAAAATCTGTCCATCTTTGCATGTCCCTCAAAGCACAAAACCAAATGGCATCGCATGCAACAAAACATTCCTGTTAAAAATGACTGACATTTTATAAAGAAGAGATAGAATCAAGGTACTTACTTAAAAGCGTTTGCTTCCGTCTCTTGCCTTATCTTCCTCCGCTCCTTAATGCCTGTGTCTTGTCCTCTGTAGCAGCACACAGATGTGAAAATGTGTGCGTGTGTTTGGGTAGATCAGAGAAGCTCCAGTACAGAAAGTTGCTGTTCTGTAGGCAAAGGCGTGTAGTGTGTGTGTATGTGTGTGCGTCTCAAGCAAAGGCTCACACTGCACTGGCTGAAGGGAAACCAAAGCACTTTTAAACTCGCACTGGCTCCCCATGTGACCAGCTTACAGCAGCCAGTGAGGAATATATTAGTGTGGTTTCCTCTGTCCACATGCACCCCCTAGCCACTGTTGCAGGAAGTGTGCGCTGCCAGAGAGACACACACACACACGCGCGCACAGTGACATATGCTTGCAATACCCATGGCACGATTAACAAAAACACAAATGCAACCACCCAAAGAGAAATTTATGTTGCTCAGAGTTTGCTCTTTCATAGCTCAGGAGACTTAACAGGGTTTTCAGTCATGCTTTATTCAAGTGTCCGCTATTTCTCAGTTCGTCTTGAAGTTAGGCAAAAATTTGACCTTTGGAACAATTTGATTTAAAAAATAAATAAATAAATTGCAGACTGGGCACAATTTGAGACGTTGAAATCTCAAAACCTCTAACATTTTTTTATTTAATATTATTTTTTATTTTATTTTATTTATTTATTAATTTAATTTATTTATTGTTTATTTTTATTTGTAATCTGAACTCCCCCAATTGGTATTTGGCTTGTTAAGATAAATCGCTTGCTGGATGCATTTAAAGTGTCCCCTAAAAGAATAAAACATAAACAATTCAAATATAAATGTTGATAATTTTAAAGATTTGTAAGATCATCTTTTTTTATTTTTTTTCCTTTGATGTTTCTACAACTGTTTATCTACAAATTAAAAATCAAAGAGAACTTGAGATTAAACAAATAACTAAAAACAAACAACAAATATAACAAACAACGCACATTCAACTAAATATAATAAACAGTGCACACCAAACACAACAAACAAAGCACAGCAAACATCCTATACACCAAACATAAAAACAACAAAACTCAGATTGAATATAATAAACAACACACATAAAATGCAACAATCAACAAACATAAAAATAAAACACCCTCGACAAAATATAATAAACAGTGCACACCAAACACAACAAACAGCATATAGTGCACTAAACATAACAACAAACCACAGGTTCAACATTTACATTTACGTTTACGTTTAGTCATTTTGCAGACGCTTTTATCCAAAGCGACTTAAAATTGGGGAATACATAAAGCGATTCTTCTTAAAGAGGCAAACAGACACAGGAAGTGCTCGTAATACCAAGTTTCAGGCATTTGTTCAAATAAGTACAAGCTAGAAATTGAAGGAATAAATAAAGAGAAAGACAAAGGTTCCAGCCAGAAGAGCATTGTAGTAGTCCAGCCTAGAAATGACAAGGGCCTGGACAAGAAGTTGTGCAGCATGCTCTGTTATAAAGGGCCTGATCTTTCTGATGTTGTGCATTGCAAACCTGCAAGATCGAGCAGTCTTTGCAATGTGGTTTTTGAAGGTCAACTGGTCATCAAAGATTACACCAAGATTTCTGACCGAAGTTGATGGGGTAATTGTAGAAGAACCTAGCTGGATGGTGAAATCATGCTGTAGAGTTGCAACATAATAAGCAATCAATGAATGCACGTGAAATGCAACAATTAACACACACCAAACATAAATAATGCACACTAAACATAGCGCAAACCAATCGTAATGGAAAATGCACACCTTAAATAATAAACAGACATGCCAAAAATCAAATAATAAACAATGTACAACAGTGAATGAATGAATGAATGAATGAATTAATGTTACAAAATGGTCTTTCCACCAATCACAATAATCAGCAGCTGAAACTTGCACCCCACTTCCTTTATCTGTCTCTCTCCTGTTTTTTTTTTCTCCCTTCTTTCTTTAAAGCACATTTGAACTACAGCTCATCACCACGTTATGCCCCCTCCTCCTCTCTCTCTCTCTCTTCTGGGCTCTTGCTTCTATGCAAATGTGCCTCCTGAAACAATGGTGAGAATCTTAGCCAGATAAACACACATGGCGTGCATTTACAAATCAATACTCAGAGCTCAGCAGGGCTGTGCATTAAACATGAGCTGCTCCACAGAAAAGCAAAGTCACTACTAGCCATCCTATCAGTCTGCTCACCGTTCAGCCAGTGGGGGAGACTACCCACAATGCACTGCAGGACAGTGTTGGGCAAGTTACTCTGAAAATGTAATCAAATTATTGATTACTGATTACTCCTTTTAAAAGTAATCACTTTACTGTTCTGATTACTTTATTTCAAAAGTAATTAGTAATTAGTTACATTACTAGTTGCGTTACTTTTTTCACCATTAAATTTGGGAAATCCCAGCATACACGCTCCCGATAAATATTTGTTATTAAAGCATCAACATTCACAGAACACTGTTATTTTTAACTAAAGCAAGCGGCTGCTGCATGCATGGTTTGGCATGGCAGAATGCCAGCAAAGAGCGCTGCATTTATAATCTCTAAAATTCATCTCAGTTCATCGCAATCTCACAAATCTCTGTTATAACACAATAAATATATGCATAATGAATCTTTCATAATGTCTACAATTCGTGTGTTATAATGAGAGGATTGATGAGCATGCAAATTTCAGCACTGCAATGCTCAACGCTGCAAACACGTGTTATAGCCTATATAGAAACTCTGCATACGCTTGCACCTGTTAATCGTTTATATTTTATATTATTCATGTTGCTTTTGTGCAATAGATGAATACCAATTTATTTGTTTTAGATATTTTATGTTTAGATATTCAGTGTTGGGGGTAACGCATTACAAGTAACGCGAGTTACGTAATCAGGTTACTTTTTTTCAAGTAACTAGTAAAGTAACGCATTACTTTTTAAGTTACAAGAGAATATCTGAGTTACTTTTTCAAATAGGTAACGCAAGTTACTTTTTTTCCAATTTATTGACTGACAGCTCTCCTGTCCCCATGTTGAGAGAAATCAGAAGATGTTACTGTAGTTCTAAAATAAATATGAATATGCATTAATTCATCTCACTCACACAAAAAAAACACAGATTCAGTATTCCTCAAAATGAATAAAAATAATGCAACTCAGAATATGACGCAAACCTGCAATAATTAAATGTTAAACAACACAAATATCCTTTATGTATTTAATCCCATTCTGTTAACCAATGTCTTTGCTTCTGACCTTCGACGATCCAGTTCAGCCATACTAATAAGCACAAATTACTCTAGACAAACATTTGTTTGTCTTTTTTTATTGCTGAAGTGTGTTGAAATTTCTTCATCTGCATTCTACTGTACAGACGTAAATTTACTTTCCCTTCAGTCTGAGGCTTATTCATTTCACTTTTGGTGTGAAAAGGCTTTTACATTTGCCAAAAATATAACTTTTTTATTTTAAAAACAAACAAGCAAGCCCTGTCCAGATTTAAAAAGTAATGCAAAAGTAACGTAACACATTACTTTCCATAAAAAGTAACTAAGTAACGTAATTAGTTACTTTTTAATGGAGTAACGCAATATTGTAATGCATTACTTTTAAAAGTAATTTTCCCCAGCACTGTAGATATTTCTATTTTGCGGGAGTCCCGTGAATCATTTTATTCTCCCGCATCCCGCACACACACGAGTGTCTACCCACCCGTGCCACACTCTGTTGTGTCGGGTCTCGCGGGAGCAAGTCTCTAATCCACTGGCACTTGACTCGACAGTGCCTGTGCTACATCCTTTTTACAATCTCTAGATTATAAAACACTGCATTCTGTCAGCAATGTAACGCCGCAGTAGCGTATAGAGACTTCGGCTTGTAACTATACTCTAATTAATATTTTGAAAATTATAATGCGTTAAATTACTCCGTTACTAAAAAAGTAATCAAATTACAATAAGGCGTTACTAAGTAATGCGTTACTGCCCAACACTGCTGCAGGAACACACTGTCACGCTGTAAAGTTACAAGATGAGCTGGGATCGACAGTGATACTGTTAAGTGATTACAGAAATGACTGGCATTTTGGTTCAGAGGACAAGATGGTTTTGGATGCAGTAGCTTCAATACTGAAATAGCATAAAAAAGAGAAGAAATAGGGGTCAGTTTCTTTATACCGAATACCATTAAGTCACTAATGAACATTATACAATGCATACCAGATCAGTAGTTATATATTCATATATGGATGGGTATGAAAAATTCAGAGTTAAAGTTTTATGAAACTATTTGAATGTAAATGAACTTGTGATCTTTCATGCACCGTATAATATAACTACACTTTTACATTTTTAAAAGAAAATGGTGCTTGGCCATGCAAAAACTCATAGCCACCATGCTTACACTTAAGAGTTACACTCTTAAAAATAAAGGTTCTTTATTGGCATCTATGGCTCCACAAAGACCTTTTAACATACATGGAACATTTCCAAAGTTATTTTACAAACTGTATACTCAAGGGTTCTTTAAGGAACTCAAAATAAACTCTAAGGAACCTTTGTCCACTATATAAAACATTTTGTCTGAATGAAAGATTGCATGGATGGAGGTTCCCCTTCAGGAACTGCGTCGAACGCTTTGGGAACGCCCCCAGCGAGACCCCATACTGATGCATGTGTGAAATCAGTCAAATAGATAAGCGAGACGTCACTAGCGGGGTGACGTGAGCAGCCAGGAAGCATAAAAGCGCATCCGGCAAACACACGTTAGCTTCTGCTCTTCAGCGAGCACGTCTGTGTATGTGTGTGTGTTGCATAAGCACTAAGTGCATAAGCACTAAGCGAGACAATGCCTAAGTGTAAAACAAAATCTGATGTGGCGAGCAGACGGCGTTTCAAGTCGTTTTTTTTTTATTTGTGCGTCGTCTGTTTGGGAGCAGAGCATGCACGGGCAGCCCTCGAGGGGGCCTGCCATGACTGTGAGCTTCTCCCGCTCCGTGTGCTCCACTCCTGCCTGGCCGTCTTCAATGAAAGCGGCCACATTCGCGATCCTGCTGAGGCACAGCGGCGGCTGTTATTGTGGGAATCGCAAGTGGATTTAGCGGAGGGATCCGAGACGGGCTCGTCCTTATCTCGGTCCTCACCCTCTAGATCCACGGCTCCCTCTCAGCGACTGGAAGC